TTTATTCTCAAAGAAGAAACCAAAGAGTCAAAGGCAAGGGACAATGAATCTAATTAATTGCGTTAATGAGCTGAAAAAGAAGAAGAAGCTCATTAATGAGCTGATTTTTAGTAGAGATAAAGAAACTCACCAAAATAAAATCTAACTTGTTTTGACCCCACCCTGCCTACATCACAAAATTTCTCCAACAGTGAGATTCCGTAATATTTCACAATATTGAAAGAAAAATAAGAATTAGAGTTCAAATTATTTAACATCCTAGGCTCTACAACGACCTATTTCTAGGCTTGGGTATGTGCTTATCAATGTAGAAAATGTTATACTTTGGCCATACAGGAGGAAAAAAAATAGCAAAGCTTAATAGCTACATGCTTTAAAATACATTAGTGTAGCCCAAAATTTTACCAATAGGAGTGGGCTCCAAAAAATCACGACTCAACCTCTCCGCGGCCCCTTTCTTTATTCGAGTCATTGAGGAGAGTTTTAACGAGTAAGTTCCAATGCAAATTTTTAAAAGGCAGATTGTGTTTAGAATAAGACATTACTCAGAGATTTCACCCTCAATTTTGCGAGTACTTTATGATCTGAGTTCAAGTTTCCTATAGCACAAGCCATTATAGTTAATCACATATAGTAAGAGTGCGAATGAGGTGGGCTTTTCACACGTGGTAATGGGTGACTGCCGCCTATTCGAACTGGCACTGAACTGCGGGGTATGGGCACTGTAGCAAACAGCTAGATCTACACAGGATTTGAGAAAGGTTTGCAAGTATTTCTTTTCTTTTCTTTTTTCCTTAATATTTTGTGTGGAGTTCAACAATTTCATGATAATTTGATTCTTAAAAGAACAGAATAAAAAATAAAGATATATAGTTGACCCCGTGTAGTAGCAGTGTTTAAAATTGTGTAATCGGGCATTGAGGCGTTTTCTTTTTCATTAGACGAGGCGCAAGCCTCAAGGCGTTTTGAGGCGTAAGCCTCAAAATCAAAAGATTACTTAAACAAAAAATGATAAATTTTTTATATACTAATGAGCAAAAAATATAAAACATAAAAAGGCACAAGTTATGAAGTGAAATCAAAATATCTAAATAATAAAACAATATGAAATATAGTTCAACTTAAATTCTATCTTTCTCAAATCACAATATTATTTTCATTAACATATAATTTCAAAAATAAATAGCAATGAATACAACAATATACCGAGCAGCCGGTGGTCCAAGGGGGAGCTGCCCCCTGGCGGAGTTCGACCTGTAATTTTGAAGTTCTTAATATTTTTAAAGTTCGTAAGTCATTTGTATGGAAAGATACCGAGCGGTACTGAGCATTGTTGTACTTAGTGGTAAGAAGCAATGTTATACTGAGTGGTAACGAGCAGTACCGAGCATGTACCTAGCGATAACAAGCGGTACTGAACAGACATACCAATTGTGGAATCTTATTAGGTTATGGGCTTTTTTTAATTTTAAGATGCGGACGCCTCTAAAACATGAGGCGAGGCGGCCCTCAGTGAACATGAGGCGTACGCCTCAATGCCAGCTCTCATTGCGTAGGCTTTGAGGCTTAAAAGTCTGAAATTGTGCTGAGGTGTGCCTTTTATTATGCAATTTTAAACCATGTGTAGTGGGATAAAATTTAGTTGTTGTAGGATGCAATTCACTTTTTGTAAGGTGATTTGGTTTGTAGGAGTTATGTTATATACATCTTACACTATCACCCTCATGTTAAGATAACTATAGTTGCATCATTCATAGGCTGTCACCCACCTAATGCTGAAATAGGAATGATTTACAAATCTGACCTAGCCAATGTCCTGCCGGATTTCTTTCGATCCATATTGCCATTATCCTGTAAATCTCTCAACCTATGGTACTGGACTTGTATAAGAGCTTAGTACTACTATGTCCTTGTTGTAACAATTTCATGCAAGAATTTTGCCTCAAAAATAATTTATGCATCTAACGTAAGTTGCAGTTCTTTGCAAGCTTAGGGTTAAGGAGCTAAGAAGATTTTCTCTTCAATAAACCACCACATAAAAGATGGAAATTAAGCTGGGCTACAAGAGTAAAATGGTAGAAGATACTGCCATTCCTATCATCAAGCAGCTCTTCAAGACAACTCTGTAAAGGGTACAATTAATGAATGAATCAGTATCTACTGAAGTCACTAATACTCTCCGCCAAAAAATTCAGGAATTGAGGGCCAAGGTAATATACACTCTTAAATTTTTAGAGTTGTCTAAATCAAGTAAATTCATCACTGGCAACAAGTTTATTTTTCAATAGCTTACTCATCGTCGATTGATTTCTAATGAAATTGATTTTGATCAGATTTTCAAGTTTTTATTGGGTTCATTTATATTAATGAAAGGTCAACTTTAAGTCGCCCTTGATTTATAATACAACAACAAGCCTTCATTCCACTAAGTGGTATTGGCTACAAGAATCTTTTTTCACCATTGGGTCATGTTATGAGTCAAATTCTCATTTAAATCTAATAAAGAAAGATCATTTTTAATATTTTCTAACAAAGTCATTTTATGTCTGCTTCTACCTTTCTTAATATAAGTCAAATCTAACATATTTTCTCTCCTAATTGGGTCATCATAAGCCAATTGTTTACATGACCAAACAATCTAAGACGACTCTCTCTAATCTTAAATACCATTAGAGCTACTCCAACCTTCTCACGTATATCTCTAAAAGTAAAGCCACTCATCCACCTGAGCACCCTCATCTCTGCAACACCTAATTTAATTTTATATTTATCTATTAATGGCCACCATTCTGCGCTATAAAGCATTGTCCTTGATATATAATATCTACAAAAATTCTATGATTAAACTTTTATGCAAGTTAAGAAAAAAAAACAATAATTTCAATTCTTGAGCGCGCTTTTAGATTCAAGTTAACATTTAGATTATTTATTACTTAAAGGTAGTATTTATTTGTTTTGATATGCATTTAAATTTATCATCAGGGAAAAATATTTTAAATAAAAATTTGAATTGACTTGACATTTCTTGATAAATTATTTTTTTCCCATTTAAATCATCTACCAAGGCCTTTATGAATTCTCTGCACTTTCCTTTACTTCATTCACAATCTCTCTTCTAAAGCATTTTTTTCCTATCGCAATGCTCTACAAGATCCCACTTCCATTGCTTCTATGAGAAAAAGCCCTCAGACTTTCAAGGAATTCAAGTACTCACACTTTAATTAAGTGTCGAATTATACTGAGAGTTTATATTGTTTATTGTATTAATAATGAAAATTTTATTGTTCAAGTTCCAATAGAAGATGAGTATCCTAATAGTTTATATAATGATGAGTTAGGTTTTTATCAGAATCAAATCCAACTAGAATAGCAACCCCAACTTCAACATATGCTACCTCCTTGGCCTCGCCTCTGTTGGTCGCTGCAAAGGGACTCGCCTTAACAGTTTCAAATAGAGAGGGACACCGTCATAATACAAAGAGAGGTCGACTCCCTCAACCAGCTTTGTGCCGATGTTAGCAACAGGAGATTCACCAATCGCCGCTAACCCTTCAGGTCAAACTATAATCATCATTACCACCCCATGCTCAACCTTAATCCTTTTTGTAGGAGGGAAGTTGATGGTTCAGAAGACCACTAAATGGTCTGTCCATCTTTTTCAACCTTCTTACTTCCCGAAGGATAATTCACGTTTTTCTTTAATTTGTAAGCCTTTCATAGGTCAAAAGTTGCCTTCATTAAGGCTTCATTTGGTTATTTGGTAATTTTATAAAAGACAGTTTTAAGAAACATTGATTCAGAAAATGTAATTTTCTAACGGAGAAGCAAATAAAAAGCTTTCTCAAAACAGCAGAAAAATGAAGAAAAAGGAGTTAAGGTGATTTGACGAACCAAACAGTAAAAAACAAATAAATTTGACGTTTTAAAATGGAATCAGCACAAAACACTTCCAATCAAACGAAGCCTGAATGCTTAACACCAGCTCATGCTAAAGGTTAAAGGTTCAAAATCATTAAACTTAAATTTTAAATTTAAAGCATTAATTCTTATTATAATTTTTTGAGTTTCATGTCTAGGTTCTTTATTGATTTTTTAATTAAATGATATCTTAGTCTTGATCTATTTTGAGCACTTGATATTGATATTGTAATAGGGCCTTCAAAATTAGTTTGATGTTCTACACTACTTAGCCACAAAGATTTCAATCGTGATCTTTTATAACCATGCAAAGCATTGCTGGTCTTTTTTTTTTCCTTTTAATTAGAATTCACACAATGTGGAAGTTGAACTCCTCCCCCTCACAATTCATGAGGAGCAAAACCAGATGAGTTAATGCTCAGTGGTAAAGAGACTGAAACGAAGGGCAAATTATTGGGTCAGGTGACCGAAGCCATCTCTCCGTTCGGTCGCCAATAAAAATGCGCCATCTGTTAGGATTTTTTTTAATTTAATATTAACGCTTTATGTCTTTTCAAAGTTAGCGACCCGACCCGATAATGCTTTTCATTTGAATTTCGGCAAATAAAGAATGGAAACGCCGCGCGACATCTTCACTGTTACTCCAGCTCCAGCTCTGGTAAGCGCTCTCGGATTCCTCCATTTCCTTCGGTTCTGCATTAGCTTATTCCTGCCGGAGGTAGACGACGAACCTGTAGAAGATCATAAATCAGGAAGAGGTATGGTTGCGCCTAACTTGCGCTTTACTTGCGCTTTCGTTGCGTTTAAGTTATATGTTAAATTTTAGGGTTTAGGGTTTGGTTATAATTTTTTCATTATTTGTTTAATGTAATGTTCAAATGTTTATTTTCTGATTTTTCACGCTTCTTCTCTTCCTAAATGAATGAAGCAAATGATACGAAAGGTTTACGCTATCTGCTAACTTTTTTGGTTTAGTAATAGTTGTATAACTAGCATATATGTTCAATGAGGTCTAATAGAATCAGACAGCATGAAAGGTTATCATTTCATAAACAATTTGATTTGATTTAGATATTAAAAAGTGGAGCAATTCACATACAAAAGGGATAATTCCAAGCAGAAATAACCAGCACAACACCGAGGGGCTCTGGTACAATCTCTGCCGATGAGGGGAAGGCCGTTAGCATACTTGACACCTAAATTATTTTCGAATCTAGTCAGTCATGCTTCATTAAGAATCAAATGCGCAAATAAAAGCCACAGCTTTCTTTCTATTTAAAAACACTAGCACTTTCGTGTTACCTTCTCAGGTTTCATCCAGCGCTTCAATTCCTTTAAAGCCAATCCACATGAAGACTTCGCCAAGGAAATCTGCAGTAAGAAAAACAGTGTGAGGAGGATTCAAACAGACAAAACTAAGGGTTAAAGATTAGAAAACAAAAAATTCCGACTAATTATTTAACAGGATCCGATGATGGCAAACAACTACGGCAGTTAGTAGAATCGAACGTCCTTTTCGCATCTCGAGATACAGCAACAAACGCAACTAGTGACTCAAATTATTTGAGAAACCGATCTAGGAAAATAGAATATGTGCCAAAAAGATCAATTATATTGCTCTGATCACAGAAAATTACCCTTTAAGTCATTTTCCAAAATGGAATAGAGAGAGATAAGTAGCCCAAAACCCAAAAACAAAACCTACAATCCATGATAAAAACCTTCGTCCTTATCAAAATAAATCCCTTCTAAAAAAGAAAAAAAGATTAAAACGAAAAAGTAAAGGTGAAGAGAAGAAGTCCAATCCCACCTCGTGGACAAAAGACTCAAGCTTTGGCTTCGATAGATCAGCTTCGAGAGCTTCCATGATGTTTTCCTCCTTCTCATCGATCATCCTAATGATGCCCTTCAACTGAGCCGCCCTCCATTCATAGCTCCTCGTTTTCCCTGACGCAAAGCTCTCTCGCAGCCCCATCACCACCTCGCCGGCGCTCTCTTCGCCGACGGGTCGTTGACTTTGTTTGCCCATCTCTTCTCGCTGAAGGAATTACAGAAATTGGATGGAACAAAAGAGGAAGAAAACAGAAAGAAGAGCACAAGTTCGGATTTCAAACCGAATCTTCTTATATGGCCTGGGCCGTTATACTCATTCTATTTGTTCTGAAGGATGAATCATTAATACTAAGAATTAGAGCCGCGGAGGCTTTTTATATTGGCGTGGTCTTAGGCTTGCGATAGCTATGTCATTCTATTCACCTTGGAGAGAAACTCCACGCGTAGGCAAATTATTGGGTCAGGTGACCGAAGCCATCTCTCCGTTCGGTCGCCAATAAAAATGCGCCATCTGTCAGTCGTTTTTTTAATTTAATATTAACGCTTTATGTCTTGTCAGAGTTAGCGACCCGACCCGATAACGCTATTCTATTGGCGAAGAAAGAATGGAAACGCCGCGCATTTTATTTTCGAGCGACATTTTCACTGTTACTCGAGCTCTCGGATTCCTCCATTACCTTCGGTTCTGCATTTGCTTATTCCTGCCGGAGGTAGACGACGATACTGTAGAAGACCAGCAATCAGGAAGAGGTATGGTTGCGCCTAACTTGCGCTTTACTTGCGCTTTACTTGCGCTTTCGTTGCGTTAAAGTTATATTGCCGTTAAATTTTAGGGTTTGGTTTACTTATAATTTTACCAATGTTTCCTTTCAAATATTTATTTTCTGATTTTTCACGCTTCTTCTCTTCGTAAATGGATGAAGCAAATGATACGAAAGGTTTACGCTATCTTCTAAGTTTTAGGGTTTAGTAATAGTTGTAAAACTAGAATATATGTTCAATGTGGTTTTCAATTTTTTGGTTTTTTTTTATTTTAAACTTTTTTAAGCTAAATAATTACGAAATATAAGGTTGCGCTATGGTTGCGCTATGGTTGCGCTATGGTTGCGCTATGGTTGCGCTATGGTTGCGCTATGGTTGCGCTATTTATATAGTTCTGATTTTTCTTTTTGTTATAGATGAGGACTCCCTATCAAAGGCCAGTAACATCTAGATGTTATGTTACTGCTTTCCGGAAACATTGTGATGCTTTTGCCGAGATCATAGATGATGAAGTGGAACAAACATTAAAGAATTTGAACATTCATCAATTTTTGATGTTCCCCGCATTCCAGCAGTGTATACCACTTCTGTTTGAGATTCTTAAATTCTGGAGTCCTGCTGATGAGGGCTTCATCGTCCTTGGACATGTTCTGAAATTCACTACTGACGAGGTTTCTTTGTTGACAGGTAATATTTTGAATTTGGAATTTTTTATAGCTATATGTTTTTTGAACTTTTTAACAGCTGAAATTTTCTGACAGGTTTGCCCAACAGAGGCATTGATATCAAATGGAGGATTGATCCTCTAAATGGACCTCTGTCAACTGAAATAAAAAATGAAATGTCAATATTAGACAGATTAACTGATAATGCAACAAAAATAAAGACCTTTATTATGTTTTTGTTATCCAACCTTTTCTTTCCACTAAAGCATATGCCTAAATTTAGGGCAGAGTTTGCATTTTTTCTTTTTCTACAAACAAAGAAGTAAACAATCTGTAACTTGTTGTAAATATTGTCCATGATTTATAAATGTACATTTTATTATATTTTTATATACTTTTTGATTGTTGTATAAAATGTGCACATACTGTTATATTCTGTTTATTAATGAGCATTCTCTAAAATCTGTTATATTCCGTAAAGCGCAACAATAGCTAAACTATAGCGCAAGTATAGCGCAACCATAGCGCAACCATAGCGCAAGTATAGCGCAACCATAGCGCAAGTATAGCGCAACCATAGCGCAACCGTAGCGCAAGTATAGCGCAACCTTAGGGCAAGTATAGCGCAGCCATAGCGCAAGTATAGCGCAAGTATAGCGCAAGTATAGGGCAACCATATATTTCGTAATTATTTAGCTTAAAAAAGTTTAAAATAAAAAAGAACCAAATTACATAAGTCCAAATAGATGATTTATAAAAAATTTTTTATTACAACCAATAAATGAAATCATTAAGTCCAAATAAATATTATTACATTGCAAAATTAAACTTTATGAAATCAATCAGTCCAAATAAATATTATTATATTACATTGCATATTCATTAAATTCCAACTCCGAAGAAAGAAAATCCATCATCAACTTGGTGTATTCAGCTCCAGGTTGGCTTGATGGTATGCCGGTTATATATTCCTCACTGAAACATTCAGGCATGCTTGAAAAGTTCATCTGTGTTGAACTAGGATGTGTTGAAGAAGGTTCATCTATTGGGTTATCCCCCACCAAAGGCTTCTTATCTGTAAGAAACTAGAGCTTTAGTCTTAGGATTTGGAATTAAATAATTAACAAGTTATTAAAAGCTTACTCTTAGGTCGTTTCTTCTTCTCCCAATGGCTTTTCAGTCTTGCATTTGATATGCCTTTAGGTCTACGCTTTAGAGGATCTTTCAAATTTGCAGTTCCACCTTGGGAACTAGCAACATCCTTCTGATTTCTTTTCTTGCCACCAAGAATTAGGTATAATTTTTTATACATGTCTTGCAATGAGGAAAGAATAAACTCCTCTGCCTCTTCATTCCCTTGAGCTTCCGTGCTCATTTGATATGCAAACCTGCTCACCTGATTTCTGAATATGAATCCCCTACCACTTTGGAAATTATTACTTCTTTGAGAATTAAGGAAGTAACCTGAATAAAAAACTTGTCGAGCCCTTGCTGACCAACGAAGTAATAAGTACTTCTCAGGGAATTTAGCCATATCCAACTGTTTAAAAACCCTCAAACAATGAGAACACAGCAATCCCATGGTTTCATACTTCTTACAGCTGCATTGAATGTTACCTTCTGTTGCATCAAAGTGAACAACCCAAGGATGGTTTTGATTCTTTTTCTCTATGTAGTTGACTATATACTTTGAAGAATCAGTCGAGACAAAATCTATACTCATTTCTCCCACAGCCTTTATAAATTCTTCCTCAAAAATTGAATATATTCTTCTTGAGTAATATCTAGCAGCTTGTTTTAATATTGAGCTGTTCTTTATCACGGGAACAATTTCAGATTGACTGCATTTGTAATCCTCATCTTGCTCATTTCGCCGCCAATTCATCAGTACCTTTTCCAAGCCAAGAAAGCAATCAGTTAATGAACTTGTTGGCTTTGAAATGCCATGACACACATTATTAGTACACTCACTACGCTGCGTTGATAAAATGCCCATGCAAAAGGAATCCTTGTTGAAAGCAGTTGACCACTTTCTCCTTATCTTATAAAGATCCTGCAACCATTCATGATTATGAAGATTCCCTTCCTTGATCATTTCATTCCACGCTTCCTCAAACACTTCCTCAGAATCACACCACCTCATACACTTATGGAAGAGTCCTCTAACTTTATTATTGCTATTGTAGATGGAAACTTTTGATGGAACCTTTTTAAATATGTGCCATTGGCATAATCTATGACGAGTGTGAGGTAATGCAGCTTCTATGGCCCTGGCCATAGCTTGGTCCTGATCAGTGAATATTGTTGTTGGATATTTATTACCCATTATTCGTACAAATACTTTAAACAACCATGTAAAACTTTCAATTGTTTCTTCTGACAAAAAAGCAACCCCAAACAAAATATTCTGCCAATGATTGTTAACACCAACAAATGGCGCACAAACAAAATTATACTTGTTCAGCCTGTAACTAGTATCAAAAATTAACACATCTCCAAAACATTCATAATCTATCCTGCTTCTGCCATCAACCCAGAAAAAATTTAACAATCTATCCTGATCATCATATTGAACATCCCATGCAAACATGTGGTCCTCAACTTGTCGATCTTTAAATAATTGAATCAAAGAATTAGTGTCACCAATTTCAATCCTTGCTCTTTTCTCCTTCTGAATCAAATTGTAGGCGTCCCTCTTAGAGAATCCGACATTCTCACATCCACCAACTTCCTCTGCAAGGTAGGCATATGCATCAACGGTTCTAATCCCTGCATTTGTCATCGATTTTAGGACGGAAGCTTTTTCCTCAATAACATTCCTACATGATCTTAAAAGGTGTCGGTCGGCTGGGCTAGCTAATTCATGGTTGTGGGATTCAATAAATCTTTTGACATGCCAGTAACCGTCTTCATCAGTGACAAACCTCACCATGGCTGGACAACCAGTTCTGACAACTGGTCTAATGAATCTCTTCCTCTTCCCTGAATTATGATCGTCACTTTTTTTGAAACCAGCTTTTGAACAAACAAAGTCCTTCGATTTTATCTTCCTAGAATTTGGCCAAAAACTGTGATGATCCTTTCGGACACTAAAGCCATTATCGTGAGCATAAGTGCAAAAACATTCATATGCTTCTGTCTCATCTTTGTATACAGCCTGAAAGGGCAAGTATAGCGCAAGTAAAGGGCAAGTATAGCGCAAGTATAGCGCAACTATAGCGCAACTATAGCGCAACTATAGCGCAACTATAGCGCAACTATAGCGCAACTATAGCGCAACTATAGCGCAACTATAGCGCAACTATAGCGCAACTATAGCGCAACTATAGCGCAACTATAGCGCAACTATAGCGCAACTATAGCGCAACTATAGCGCAACTATAGCGCAACTATAGCGCAACTATAGCGCAACTATAGCGCAACTATAGCGCAACTATAGCGCAACTATAGCGCAACTATAGCGCAACTATAGCGCAACTATAGCGCATTCTTTTATTTATCATCTTCATCCTAGAAATCAATAATGAATGCTAAGCAACAACAACAACATTAGATTTTTTTATTTTTTACTTTTTCGACAAAAGAAATTTATTCTGCTTAAAAATCGCAAAATCAAAAATCTTAAGAATAATGAGCTGAAACCTACGTCAACTTTCTGCTTAAGAAATTTATTCTGCTCACAAACAACTTTCTAACTCGTTTTTCCAAGATACTTACCGAAATGTTGAAACCAGAGGAATTTCCGGCTACGTTAGGTTCCGATTCCGATTCATGCACTACCCCTTGCGATTCATGCATCCTTTCCGATTCGTGCATCCTTTCCGATTCATGTACTCCCTCTTCCATTCCCTCTTCGACCTCCCTCTTCGCTGAGCAGTCCATTTCTTCTCTGCAATTTTTTGGCTCATTTTTTCTTCTACAGCAGTCTTTATTTGCGTCTTTCGCGGCTTTCAAAATGAAAAAATAGGGCGGCAAATGCTTAAAAGTTCAAATGAAAAGCGTTATCGGGTCGGGTCGCTAACTCTGAAAAGACATAAAGCGTTAATATTAAATTAAAAAAAATCCTAACAGATGACGCATTTTTATTGGCGACCGAACGGAGAGATGGCTTCGGTCACCTGACCCAATAATTTGCCGAAACGAAGAGAGAAGATAGTAGCATGATAAAGAATATTACAATTGAAAATCTAGGAGTTAAAAGCTAATGAAAACTTGGATGGAAATCAAAGTTTCTGGCAGGAGAAATGCTACCTTAAACAGTAGAATTTTTGTAAAACTCGAAAAAGTCGATTGTAAGTGTTGCACGTATTTCGATGCGTCGCGACGACATTTAGGCTAATTTTGAAAGTTGTCGGATTTCAACAAAATTTTATAAAATAGTACATTAAATTTCGATCGAAATGATAAAAAGTACTATAGTAAATTCTGCACTAAATGGGAATTAATAATCGTCGAAGTTTTTAAATGAAGTGGTTATTTACGAAATTACCCTTCTCTTCTTTATGGACAATTAAAGTACTTAAGGGCAAATTGGACTTTTTGGAATTCCCCTAACCGCCCGATCCTTAAGGGGACCGAAAGAAATACATTCCGTCCCCTCATGTTTTCAACCTTTTGAGATCATTATATTCATGTTATGGTTCAAGAAATGTTAAATTTGTATTTATGTTTATTGTTACAGTAATGTTAAACCTGTACCCATGTAATTGTGAATATAAGGTTAAATAAGGTAGCATGTCTTTTAAATAAAGTTTGTGTAGATAGGAGAATGAGCATGACACAAATTTAGACAAACATATATGAATTCATGAATGATTTAATTTCTATGATAAACATTATGATTGAATGTACATGATGATCCAGAGTACTAAAAGGTAAAGGGCTCTTCGAAGAAAATTTGTAAAGGGCTCCTCGGAGCAAATTGGTAAATGAGTCTTCGGAGTAAATGAAATGAAATGTTTGGCCATATTTGATTGAGTACCTGATCAGTACGAAATATTGATACTTCCGGGACGAGTGTATAAATATAAGATTAAGCATTATGCATCTATGCATATGAGAACATGAAGGAAAAAATATGAAAAATGAAAAAGTTATGAAAAATGGAAAATTTATGAAAAGTTTAAAGATAACTGAACAGGTAGAATGTTATACAAAATAGGCATACCCAAAGGTGAAAGTATGATTTTTATTTAATTTGTAATGCTACTGAAATAAATTTTTCAGCACCACCAAATGAAGTTGCATGTATAATATCTTCTTTTTTTTTGCTTTATAAATATATGATAAATATTTGTTACCAGCTGAGCTTTAGCACACCCTATTTGTGGGAATGATTTTCAGGAGAATCTGTTAAGGACTAATGGTAGGACCTGTTACATACTAGCATAGAGTAGTTCAAGGAAACAGGTTTTTATGATTAAGTTATGTAATGTGTTAAATGGTGTGTCGTGGACTACTGTAGTATTTTCATTTTATGTTTTGAGATATTTTATGTTTTGATGTATTAGAAATATTTGAATTGGAAGTTAATCGCTCTTTCCTATGTTGTTATTGGATGTTTATTTTGTTAATGTTATTTATGAAAAGAAAATATTAAGTTCTTGAAATTACCGTACGATCGTAAGTTCCCGCCCCATTAATTCGGGCTAACCGGACCGAGTCGTGACAATTTTTCTCTACTGTTATTTTTTATTGAACTTCAATACATCATATTAAAAGGAAACATTCCACAGAATTTTAAAGGTCCTAACAATCTAAAATTCAAAAGCCATCGTTCGAGGGAAAAAATAAGTCTCAGATTTTAATGGGATTGAATGAAATCACATTAACTATAATCAAGAATCACCATTAAAACCTACGCATACAAAAAAGAAATCAAAACAAAAGCATCAAAAGGCCATATCTTTAGAAATGTGCAATCATCTGTAAATTATAAATAGCATCATAGAATCATTATCGTCAGTAACCAAGTTACTAACATATACATTCGTGGTGGTTTAAGATAGATTCGAACAAATTAGAAGAACAAAAGACATACCTGAACTTCAATAGAGAGAGTCGGAACTTTGCGGAAAACATCTCTTAAGCTGCGACGCACTTGTATATGAAGGGCTTGTCCTTCCCGTATCATAGGCTTCCCCAATAGACCATTTACACCAACAGACAGGTTGACACCATGTATCTTCAAAGGGCATGTGATATATTAACAATGTGCTAATAAGTTAAGCATTGACAAAAAATAAAAAGATGCATTTTACATACTATCATACCTCAGCATCAAGAATATCTAGATGTACAGCTGATGGATCTTTATCTTTGCTACCAAACCAGAAGAAATTGTTTTTCACTTGCAGTTGCCCAAGATCAAGCTGCATAAAACTAACAAAAAAACAACAAACATTTCAAACAAATAAAATTTGGCATATGAGAAAAACAAAATATACGTTATCATTGATGTTCTACAGATGTAAAGTAAAGTGTAAGAAAGCTACATTTATATTGTTAGCATGGGCCAATGATTAATACACATTCTATTAGAGTTCAAGGATGTTTAAATCTACCGAAGACAGCTTAAAGGTAGCACAGTGACATAACTAATAACTTCCTGATAAGGTGTAGAGCCTAGGATTCTATTTGTAAACTTAAAATAAGATAAATAATGAAATACGCTAACGATAACAATTCAAAATTTCCCAACCTCAAATTTAAGCAAAACTTTTGATACAAAGAATTGCCAAAATAAATCCTCAATAACAACAGATGATTTTTTCAGTCCCAATTCAAGCAAAAGCACACATTACACAGTAGGTGAGAATGCCAATGTAAGACCCAAAATATTCGGGTAAGAAAAAAAGAAAAATTTATTTGATTATAATCTAAAAAGTATATTTAAAGTTAATATTAATTGTATAATAAATAGGGTAGGCATTAATATTTATCTCAAGTTACAAATTTACTTTAAATTAGATTAATTTCTTATTAGAGAATGAATAGATGTTTTGGTTGGTGAATAGCAGTTAAGGGACCATATCTTTACACACAAGCCAACTGTCTGCGAACAATTTCAATGTCGACACAGGGATTAGGAAAGGAAATCAACACAGCATTCTAAAGAAGAAATCCCAGAAATTACGGTTCCAGAGTTTGGCACAGTAGAATTTTTCTTGTAGCAGTATTCGGAAGAAATGTAGCCAGAATTCAGCATAGTGTGCAAGAATCATTGTTGCTCTATTCGGTACAGTGACTGGAAGCACTGTAGCAATTTGCAGAAGGTTTTGTAGAAAAACTAGGAGAGTTCGGCTGTGCTGGGAAGAAGATTAAGAAGTATTTTAGAAGGAATTCAACAATGCAGAAATTTAAGGCACAGTATAATTTTTCTTGTAGCAGTGCTAGGAAGAAATGTAGCCAGAATTCAGCATAGTGAGCAAGAATCATTGTTGCTCTATTGGGTACAGTGACTGGAAGCACTATAATCCTGATGGCTTTATGGTATATATATGATGTAACTGTTAGATGCATTTATATTTATATGAACATGTATGAATTATGTTGAATATCAAATTAATAAAGATTGACTACTTTATGATATGATTTCTACAATATCAAGTGGGCAAAAAAGATCCAACTATGAAACTTGTATTGTAGGTGGAGTAAAAGGGATCCCAAATAATATGATACCTACATAGCATGTGGGATAAAAGGGATCCCTAAAGAGGCAAAAGGGATATCTATGTAATTCAATGATAATAATGTTAGGTTTACCTGAGCTCCATTGAATATGTTTATGAAAATATAGTTAATCTTTTAAAAGTCTAAAGTTTATATTCACTACAGTCTACAGTTGAAGAAAATGATTAATGCCACAATTTATTATATGAGATTTTCTTATTATGGGTTAACTTATGATTTAAATGTTGTAATTTTTAGAATACAATTTAATTGTTATTTGAATGTGCATATCTTATTGAGCCTCATAGCTCACCAGCATTTTTCTTACTGATTGTTAGTATAGGAAAAGGAAAAAAAAAGGTTGGAGAAGACTAAGTGCAAGTACTTAAATTTTTATGTTAGCTTTATGTTAGCTTTAAATATGTTTGTACAACTAAGCTTTAAATCTAAAGAAGTATTACTTTGAATTTTTGTAGTGGCTCTATAAGTATGTTGATTGAAGCTTTAGATTTCCTAGCTGCTTTCATTCAAGTATCAATTGAAAGATGATTGAATGTTTTATAAGAATTTCCCATGTGAGAAATTTTATTAAATATCAAGAAGAAAAAAAAAAGTTAGGTTATGTATGTTACACTTTACAGTATGTTTAGGAGTACTGTGGGGTGTTACAGTGAAGACGTTATTCTAAAGCTTAAGGGAGATGAGGCTTCTCTAATTTTTTCAAGGACGGAAATAAAATGTGTGGACTGGCTGGTTTGATATTGTCACGTGCTGCATAAAGTTTCAGTTTACTGGTTTCCCATGCTATGTTGTTTTCTTCACTTCAAACTTAAAAAAAAATGAATCATGCAAATGAAACAAATATCCACAACAGAGGACTTGCATTAGAGACTACACCATTACCGTCAGTTATGTAGTTAAAACTCATCTGACCATCACCTCATGTCAGCCCACAAAACTTCAAACAAGACCATTTGATATAATAAAAACTATTCATAAGATTAAGTGAAGCAGAATGAGTACTCTGCTTTTTCAACAAAGTATACCTCAAAAAAATATTAACATTTTGTCAAACCAATCTCTCAAAAGAAATATCTATATTGATAAGAAAGATAATTACATATGCCATAAATTGAAAAAAAAAAAAAAAGCATAGAACATAAAAGACAAATACATACTCCTCACTCAGAGAATTCTTTGGAACAACAATGATTGGAGTGTCCAATGACAGATCTAATTTTAAAGCAGTAGCACCATCCATTTCATATTTCTGAATCAGCCACTCGATGCCTCCAACTTTGTCCACCAACTTGATCACTTCTTCAGTGTGTGGGGTGGCTAGCCCCATAAAGTAAGAAGAGATCTATGAATTTAATTTAAAAATGGCCAAATCAATATAAAAAAATAGACCTCTGAATTAGCTCTCTATGTTCAAAAGAAAAATGTAAATGAAATGTTTAACATCTGAATAGCAATCGGGTATATGTTTAGCAAAAATGCTAAACCAAAGATGAAGCATTAATAACTAGTTCATTGAAATAAAAACTAATCTAATAAAAAATAAAAGTATGTACATGTGCAACGGTTCTGCTGGGCAACATTGGTTATATTGAGCATGTTTCAATCATTTATTTCATACACATTTATGAATCTTCTGAACGAGTTCATGGGTATCTTTTATTTCTTAAAAGTTTTGTGCTTAACAATTCATTAATATAGCACCTAAAGCAACTTGAATAAAAACATATTACTAAGCCACGGGATGAGAATAATGCTACATCACAAAGAGCAGATCAACACAGCGGCCTAGATATGGGGCCGCAGCAATTCAAGACATAGGCTTGAGCGTCGCAGCGCTTCAAACCGGCATCGCAACACTACGAGACGGACTAGATGGTTTTATTTTTTGTTTTTTGAAGGATAGCGACCATTGGAGTTTATTTACTTGGCTTTTTCTTGTATTCTCAATTAAGGTAAGTGTGAGAACAGTGCATGTGAGAATAGAAGCAAGGAGAGAACGAGAGAAGAAACATCTATATTTATTTCTCCCAATTTTCATAGTGGATTTCTTGGTGTGGTGTGGCCTCGTGATTTTTTCGCTATTTTGAGTTTTTTAACATTAAATCAAGGTGTCATTTACTTTTCCGCTGCTTTTACTTTCTTGCTTGTATCGTCATTGTTGTGTTTACTCATGTCATTCCCCAATAGCTGTTGCCATGTCCCAAGTCATAAATGAGAAAAGTGGAAGGTTGTGTTAGGTTGTACAACATGCATAAAATTTGTCGAATAATCATGACATGAATCTTTTAATACATTGTGTTAATGTTAGGGCATTCCCGAAAAGCAACGTGTTTTATAACCTGAATATGGCTAGAAGTACGCAATGGTCGTCGCTACACCGACGCCCGGGTGCAATGTTAAATAAGCAAGAGTTCCAACATCATGGACAAATGTTGGCAAAAAATGAAATCCGTAAAACTAAAATTAGGATATCGTCTTGGAATATAAGTTCCCTTACAGACAAATTAATGAAACTAATATATATTATGATTCATAGGAATATAAATATTCTATGCATTCAAGAAACTAAATGGGTTTGAAAGAAGACTAAGGAGATCGATAGTTTAGAATTTAAACTATGATATTTTATTAGGATTTGTACTAGAAATGGTGTTAGCAAGTATAAAATCATAAACTTCATTATCATAGTCCGAATCCTATGATAATGAAAATAAAACAATATCTTTAATGAAGATGGATGAGAAATATTATCCTATGATAATGAAACAAAATAGAAAGTAAAATATTATTCTAGGATTAGATGGATGCATTTAAATAATGTTAACAAAAATATATTTGATAAAAACATTTTATATTATAAAATTTTTTTTGAGCATGAGAAAGCTAATGTTATGTGAGAAAAAGTACCTACTCTATTAAGAATATTGCAAATGATATCTTTGAAGTATCAAAGGGAAAAACTTCTAATAGTAAAAGAATTTGTGGTGGAATCCAAATGTGCAAGAAAAAAAATAAGAAGCTTTGTCATAAATTTAATTTAGATGTAAAAATTCTGATAATTAGGAACTATATTAAGAGATCAATAAGGAGTCTAAGAAAATAATATGTGATGCAAAGATTTTAGTTTTTAATAATTTATATAATATATTAGATACAAAAAATAGTGATTATATATATCTCGATCGGGGTTGAGTCGATGCGAAAATATTCGTCAACAATTGTATCTATAGATACGTAGTATCAAGTGTATAGTAGCAATATGGGTTTTGAATTTGAGAATTTGGAAAATTTGATATTTCAAATTAGAGATTTCACAATCTCACATTTAAAGCAGATGGTGGGGGAATGGATGATGGACCTGATTATGATCCCATGGTTCCGTCATCCTAGGCCATCCTTATCAGCAGTCATGGGTTGCTTTGTTCGAGGTTACCTTGTAGACCTGGGGTGGATGTTTGTCTAAGGGGACAAAATTTAAATCTATCTTAGCTAACAGAGGGCTTTCTGCCCTATCGATCATATCCTATTGATTCCTATTTCAAGGATTTGACGCCAATATGGAACGTATTGGCTCTGGCCATAACCAGTATTTTGTGGTGTCATTTGGCAGCAAAATTACTCGGTTTAGAGGGCCCCGGGTCATAATCGTTTATCCTGCGGTGTCATTTAGCGGCAAAACCGCTAGTCAGAGGACACGTACCACGTCCTTACTGGCAGAAGACTGTTTGAGAATAGATCCTAATGATATTATCGATCAGGCATTAGCTCTATGTAAGCTTAAGTAAATTTTAATTTTTTCACCCCGCAAACTGTTGCGGAGGGTGAATGGATTTTATGCTTTAAGTACTTGATGGTTTGATTTTAATTTATAAATCTTGGAGTTTGGAATTTTGGAATTTGAATTTTTTTTTTTTTTGAATTTGGAATTTTGGCACATTTGGGATGGCATATGAAAGTGTTCATTAACCCCACCGGTTGAGATAAACATTTAACATGGCTATCATCGGGATGTATGGGGTTATTTGAAAATGTTTATATTTATGGAATTTAAACTTTGTGGAAGTTTGGATGTTTTTGAAATGGTTGAAGTTAAACCCTCTAGTTGAGATCTTCATTCAACACAGCCCTCATCTAGGTGTACGGGGTTATTTCCATTTGAAAATAATGGCATTTTGTGAATGAACCTTATCAACTCTGTCGAGATGTCGACAGAGGATCGGGTATCGTAAACTTTATGCTTTTATTAGTGAATTATCATTATTATAGGGCTTGAAGGTCTAATATCAATGTATTAAGACAAATATACCGGTCGCCACCACCGTACATTTGTTTGATGGCTCGAACCCTATCGACTCTTATTGATCCATATAAAAGGATTGGGCCCGAATTTGAATTCACTTATTGACCTGTGCAACATCCCTAGACGTCAATTGTACATTTATAACACGCACATCGAGGCCCATGCGGGTGTTTGTGGGCATTTTATAATTATTAGTTGAACCTTTTCGACACATATTTACCAACTTAGGAGGATAAGGTTCAAATTTTATAGACCCGCGCAGCATCCCTAGACGTCACGTGTGCTCTCACAACACGTTCATCGGGGCCCACGCGGGTATCTGATTGCACTTACCCCTTTTGTATACCTATGTGTATACAAATTATTATGCATGTGTGGAGGTATTTTGGGCCTTTGAGTGGTCTTTTACGATGACTCGTAGGAGTTTGTGCTTTTCGTAATACTTCAATATTCGTACGTAGAAGGCAAGTTGGATACATGACCAGTGTTCATTAAGAAGCTTTCAAACCTCAATAATCTAATCCAACTCAGGGTTCGGACCAAGTTGAATTGAGACTCACTCTATAATGATTTGATCTGGCTTTTTCTTCTCAGAACTTGTGTAGAAGTCAATAAGCAGCTTTCAGCTTATGCTATCATTATCATTCTCTTTAGTTGGCTTAAATAAAGAATCAATGATTTCAACATTCTCTTTTGTTGGCTTAAATAAAGAATCAATTATCTCAACATTGAATGATTACGTCATTATTGAGGCCACATGTTTTGAAATCACGAGTTACAGCCTTGAACCGGCCATAATAATTGAAGATGCACTAGACCATCAAGGAGAATTATACAATACATCCATTTGCAAAATGATTGTAGTCCTTGAGATGATTGGAATGGTTGATGTATTAGACCAATGTTTGACAATTATTGGTCGTGGAGGCATCATAATGCCTTTGTTATCACGACTGGTAGGCACTTTGAAAGACATATTGTGTACACATCTACATCATGATTGTTGATTGTAGGGTGCTATGATTTCTCTATATGGGTTGGTAGGATAACTACCCTATCCACGACACATCTAGCATTATCACTTCTTGATAAGCTAAGAGAATTGATATGTTCTCTTGAAATTAAAGCATGGTTGATTACAATTGGGAGACACTTATCATATGCAGATCTTATGGGCCATCTTTCTCTATGGATGTTGCATTGCAAGCATTGCACATTCTTCATGCTTTGCAGAGATGTTTAGATCTCCAAATTTTACTCAGGATCGTATCACTGCAACGCTTATGGATACATCATTACATATATTGGAGCTCCTCTATTGCTCAAGGTATTTGCTTGCAAGGGTTTAAGTATCTTGGGATTATTAATCCTCATTCTCTTCCACTATAACCCACAAATGCTTACAACCCTCCTATAATTTCTTGTAAATGAACTGTTGTACATATAGTGGGTTCACGTTCTCGCTTGCGGATGCATCATTCTATCCACTACAAGTCCTCAGCATGTGCTTATATATTTGTTTTCATGTTTGAGAGAGGTTCTTGCATATGTCCACAAACCTGCTAGTATTGATTGGAGGGATACCCTTATATTCATTGCATATCCCTCGAGTTCATTCGTATGTTAGTAAGAGACTTGGTCGTTTGTAGGGAATATTATGTTTTCTTGTAAGATTGAAAAGAAGACTACCCTTCAATCTTTATTACTTGCAATGCTGAGTATACTTGTTTGTATTTCGATACTGCCTATAGGTCATCGCATTCATCGCATGTTCAATCTTCTCTGCCCGTCGTTGTATGTTGTCTTTCAACATACATAGATGATAACGTTATTTATCTGCGACTTGTGGTTTCCCTACTATCATTGCTTGAATGTGAGCATGCATTTGTCCCTCATAGGTCCATAGATTATTTGTTATTAGTTGGCATCAACAACTTTTGTTGTCAATGAAGGTTCTGAAAACTTCTTGATTATTCCTCTAACAATAAGTTCAAATTCATCCCAATGAAGATTAACAAATGCATGGTCATTGAAAAGTTCCA